CCCTCTTTTTCAGACATTCCCAGCTAACCCAGTACTCTCTGCCTGAATTCACGAGAATCCACAACGACCACCTCGCGGAACTGACCCCAACCTCTCTCGATCTATCATACTACCGTGTGTGACCATGGCCGAACAGACTAACCCCAGCACAACGACCGGCTCCGGCTCTGCTCCGCCACAGAGCCCCTCGCAGTCCGCCCAGACCTTCTCGCTGTCCCCACACAGCCTCAGCGGCATGGACGTCCCCAGCATGGGACAGATGGGTCAGATGGGACTGCCGACGACCATGGGACAAGGCATGCACCCGCTGCCTGCCGCCGGAGACCCCCTAGCCGGCCTGGCGCCCAAGTTCCCCCCTCAGAACTTCGACGTCCCGGACATCAACTTCTCCAACAGCGTCAGCCCCAACTTTGACTTCGACCAATCGCTGTTCACCACTGCCCAAATGCTGAGCCAATCAAACGCGCTGTTTGCCACCTCTTCTGGTCACGGAATGGAGGGGCAGCCAATCGCTGCGGGCCACGGTGGGATGGGCGTGGCCATGCAGACCACAGCGTCCAATCAGATGGGCAGAACGGCCCAGCAGATGCCAATGGGATTCTTTCCGGGCACTTCTAATAGCCCACCGGGAACTTCTAGCAGTGAGGACAGCGATGATTTGCCTTTGGCACAGGTCAGTCTGTGGTCTACCATTCTGTGCATCGATGATTACATTGATTCGTTCCTCGGACCTTCAGCACTTCCTTCCTTTTTTTTTTTCTCCAACTACTCACTCACCGTACAAACCCGTTGCTTGTTGGCGGGTGCTCGGTGTGGTTTACTTGTTTTTTCCTATCAAACGTCTATCGTCTCTGTCCCCCCTCCTTCGTTTTTGTGTTTGTTACTTTCTTGTAACACCCCTAATCTTCGGCATTTATATGTCCTTATTGTGCTGTAAGTACCGTAAAACTCTTACTAAAACTAAAACTAAACCGCTCAAACCCCGTTTGTTCGTCCTTCCATCCATCTGCACATCCATCTGTCGCTGTGTGTCATGCACTGATTGCTGCATCTAGCTTACTCCCTCTTCCCTCTTCATATGGTTGACTCCTTCTTTCCTGTCAAACCCCCTATCGTCCCTTCTATTTCTCCTTTTTTATTTACGTTACTCTTGTAACACCTCTAATCTTCGGCACTTATATGGCCTAATTGTGTTGCAAGTGCCGTTAAATTCTTACTTTTTAAAATGTCTACTCGTACACAGTGACACTCGCAGAGCAAAGGCACCACAAAAAAATACACATACACGCACTACAAAAATATACACGTGCACACCACAAAAATACAGATACGCACCACAAAAATACAGATACGCACCACAAAAATACAGATACGCACCACAAAAAATACACATGACGCTCCACAAAAATATACAGACACACGACAAAACTACACACATACGCAAATGGTTTAATGCACCAACACACCCTCCGTTGCCCGCATCCGCACGTACTCACTCACACACACACACACACACACACACATATACATGTATATGCAAAAACTTTATCTGCGCCCCCCTCCCCTCCTCTCCCCTTAGATCTGTCTATCAGTACAACAAAGGTCGCACTCACCACCCACCGTTCTCTCTAACTAAAGTGTTAGCAATTTTCTGTCGATCTCTGTCTTTCTCTCTCTCTCTCTCTCTCTCTCTCTCTCTCTCTCTCTCTCTCTCTCTCTCTCCTCCCTCTCCCTTTCA